ACATGGCCCAAGAATCCAGAAAGTGAGTAAGAGGTAGGCAAAAAAAAATATACTTTTGTCTAATGCTCACCGTGCGAGGAAGGGGAGACTGGGACAAATAATCCTGAAAGGACGAGATGCAGACCTTTCTCGGCCTAATACCATGCACAAAAGCTTGCCATAGAGGAACGCAAGAGGGATCATTTCAGATGTTACCGAGAGGATACGCAATCCAACGAAGCGAAGCGATATTCGCTCATTCATCTGCATGATAGGACAAGTGGAAGGCGTACAAATGTTCAAAAGCTTGGGACAACACATTTATGTAGATAGCCAGACTCGGGGATCAGATCGAGAATAGATATGTTAGGAGATGCTGCCCGAAAGTTAACTTGATTGATGATATAATGATACTTGTGGCCTTACCCCATTAGAACGGTGTGGGCAGTGCAGTGTTGAACTAGTGTTTCAATGAATTGCTTCTCTTCAAAGGATTTGGGGATAGTGACTATAATTCTTTGTAGTTCTACGGCACATATTGTTTCAGCGATGGCCTCAATCGTACTAGCTTGTGCATCGTGATTGCCTTGAACTCGTGGAGAGATACAAGAACGCAACGCCGAGGTAAGATGAGAACAGCAAATGCGCAAGAACTGTTCAAACTTCAAAGGATAGGAATTGCCCAAATTGTTTCACCTAAGAAGTATATCGCCATCAGCGTCAGAAGGATCTTATGGCCACATATCTGTAGATGCTCCCCGTCCAATCGGATGTATCATAACTTCCAAAAGGTTATGGCAGATCGAGGCATTTGGCATCGAGTAGCAAGTTTTCCTTTTGAAACTTCCAAAGACAGAGCTATGCACACATAAGTGGCATTGAAATGAGATAGAAGTAACATGCGGCTCGTCGACCTCGGTAACCCTAACCACTGCCTTCTCGAACCGCTTATTTTCATCCACACTAGTGGTGGGGTGGTTCGTTCGTGCCTTTGTATTCCATGTACTATTGCGTCAAAAAAGGAGTTCAAAGACGTTGGAGTTCCGTGTGTTACGTCTACGAAGAAGTTGGAGTTACAGTTCTGAGCGGCTTTGCGTCGGCGTCTCGTTGCCTAACGCTTCATGTGAATTCTTCAGCTTGACGATTGCACAGCTTGAGGAGCTTTTGGTAGAGCTATGACGGCGAAGTATATATAGGCGCAGGAGAGTGAACAGGGTGTCATCACCAAACCAAACTGCCAAATACATATAAGGTTCAAGTATGCAGTTACCACTCGAGGCCCCGAGTACAATTTGATAGAAGGCTAAGGAAGGCGACGATGAAAGTTAGGCTGTAATAAAAGAATGACAAAGAGAATGCCTGACCAGATGTCGTGTAGCTGCTTATGCGATCAATAGCTTCCTGGCGCCCCCACGCTTCTCTTCACTGGCAAACCTCCGGCTCTCTCCGAGCGCTGGGACGAGTTCATAGACCTGAGAGGGGAAAAAAGCGGTGAATACCAGGCATTCCCTATCTCTTCTCTTTCACCTGAACCATGTCGGTCTTACCACAAGGCTCTGGTATCATGATAAGTATAGGGCGTTGCCATCTTCACCACCTCCCCAGTCTCATTAACCTTGACTTGGGCCAAGCATCAGGCTGGTGAAGCAGAAAAAACTTGGGAACAACACCTCTGACCTGCATGAACTTCTGGGTTTGAGACAGAGTGTGCCTAGCAGGACGCCGAGGAGGGATAGGGGGGCGACGACACCAGTAGGGGGAAAGGTCGTGGGCGACGTAGTGGGGGTGGAGTATGCAGCTAGGGATGGCGATACAACTCTTCAAAGAAAATTATCATCTTAATGTAAACCGATGGTAAATGCTGGAATTCGAGCAAGACCATCGATGCACGTGGTCTGAACATGCCCCAAAATGGACGCATTATTTGTTCAAAACAACTGATTGACGACTTGTGATTACAACGTTCATCACGTCACAAAGTTCCTAAGTTCTAACTACTTGAACAAACGCGGCACATTTGTTTCATCAGTCGGCTGGATCTTTTGACGGTCAAACAGTTATAGTTGCTGCCTCAGTTGAACTCAGAAAACCTTCTGACTGCTTGAATGCTTCTTCTATGTGTATTTGTTTCAGATGAATATCATATGATCTGCACTCCTTTCTTGGATATGCTCATTTCATCGAGTATCGCACATTACAGCCCACAAAGTACCGCCTTTCCTGTACCCCAGAGCCCCAGCCATTATCTTCCTGTCTCGCAGGAGCTCGTTGTTTCCCTGTTTTAAACATGGACGTTCACAGTTCCCCGTAGATTCATTCTGATCGATTGATATGGCTGATGGTAGCCCACTCAGCTAGATAATCTGTTCATCGCTATATCGCCCCCCCCTTTTCCTGGAAACGCTCTCGTCTGTCATATCTTCCTGACTGCGTCTGTACCTCCTGGGGCATTCGAGCACCAAGGCGCAATCTGAGTCGAAAAACGCTCTGGATATATGTGATCGATGTGATCACAATTATTTTGTCGTGTTGTAATTACAACGCGGTGGTTAGAGATGTATGTGATGTTTTTTTTATGCCCCACACCTGCTCTCACGCATAATGTGACGACCACTCATATAGGAGATGATCAAGGAAACAGAAAACATATGCTATGTTGAATAGGTTTTATTGAGTCTTTCATCGCGTTCACCATAGCAAAACTGTCTGTTGGTATGTTTCTGTGCCACAGTGATCTCGATGTGAACGACCGACCATTGATCCTGAGGTTGAAAGTCCTATTAGGTGTCATGCGCAGCCCATATCATGCTTTTACCATCCCATTCTCACAAGAATAGTCGGTTACTTTTCTCAGGTGGAAAAGTCAACGTCAGCCGTGTGAGTTCAAGGACGTGATGTATCCACAGCACCCTGATGACCTTGGGTAGCGAATTTGTATATAGGCGCCCTCAAGATGATGTTAAACATCCCTCCGCCGAATTTTGCATACAGGAAGCTGGCTTTCTCGCACCATGCATTTGTCAGATCGAGAGGTTCTCCAGTACGTTGGTCGATCAATTGCGGATGATCTTCCCACCATATCTTCCTATATGATTTTGTACGGTGGGAGAGGAGTTTCAATTTACCACATCAGGATCGGCTCAGAGTTTTGAAAGGAATCCTTGGCCCAATTGCGTTCTGGGTTACGTGTGCCACAATCAAGTGTGTCACTGGAATACTGTGAACTCGCACCTGCTGACAATTTCCTTAGGCGCCAGCGACGGACCGGCGGTTCGTGGGTGCTCTTGTTCATATCTACCTTTGGCCTACTCTCGCTCTCCGCAACGGTATTGGTCTCGGTGTGGGCTTGTGAAAGACAGTTCCACCTTAGATCCCACTTTTCAAGGGCGAAAAAGCATGCAAACCAAGAGGACATGGTCAATCAAGTTGCTATCAGGACCAAACTCGCATTGCACTGGGTTATCATTTCTGTATCGGTGAGTAATCCATGTTTCCGTTGACGCCTATACTTCCCAAGCGTTCCCAGTCAGTCTTCAACAATGCATTCATTATCTGGCGTGCGTGGGTTGTTTTCGAGAAGCGGAGATGGGCACTTTATGTTTCGCTGTTGTTGTGCGGTTTGAACTTCTGTATGTCATCACCTTCAGCCTACGTAAAGTATGTTCACTCAGATAAAATAGTATCTGCCACAGCCTTCCTGGTTTCAGATACATTCATGCGTCTCAGATCCCGTCACAAAGAAATTATGGTTGAAGTTGACGAAGCTTTACTTGTAACATCCCTTGTGTTGTTCCTGGCGTCGACTATAGCATCCACGTCCTTCATTGCATGGGTACTCCGGCATGTTACTATTTTCTGTCAAACCGTTCAAATTTTTACTCTATTATTATGATGAATTTCCAGATCACATGTGGGTCTTCTCCGGGAAGACTTAACGAGCCGGCCAAACCTCAAGACAAAGAACGTTTTGGTTGTCCTCATCGCATTAGGGGCTGCCTACACAGCACTTCAGGTATACCATTAAAAGTCCTGACATGACTTTTGACTAGAACACCTCCCAACCTCCAGACAATTCGGTTAGTGATGGAAGTGCCTCCCCTTCGATCGCATACAACTACGCACTCTGTTGTCGATGCGGTGTACACTTCCGTCTCGGTGAGCGTAGGAGGATTTTATGGAACCAATTGTTTTAAACGCATCTAGCTCGTGTATCCGGCGCTAACAATCTTCTTCGTTCGTCCATTCTCAAGCGTCCGGCGACGCAATTCTATATCAATGGGAACACTTCGTGTTTAGGGCATAGGACGTCATGTATTTGTAGAGGGGAAACCGATGATTTAATAAATAACTGTTGAAAATTCTAACACTTTTGACTACCTCGCTATGCCAGTAAACCTCCCACTGTTCCAGTAAACCCACAACAGCTCCATGAACGCCCATAGCAGGGCAATGGCATCCGTAAGAAATAAGGGGACAGATTATCGGATTGAATAAGCTTCGCCAATTTGGCTCAAAGCGTATGGGATTCAGGTAACTTCTAAGGAATAGGCCTTATCTGCGGCATCGAGGGCGTTGTGAGTCAATTATGGGTACCTGCATGGGATTAGTACACTAATCTCAAGGAGGAAGTGGAGTCGGTGAGTAAAGCGTAACGGCGAGGAAGGATACAGGGATGAGGTTGGGATAATGGGCGATATGGAGTACCAGAGGAAGTTAAAAGTCAGTGGGAGGGCTACAGGCGTAGAGGTTGAGAGTCAAAGGGGTTTTGATAAGAAAACATTAAACTGCGAATATGGTTATACAAACCATGTGCAACCTTCATCAACACCAAACCGCCTGCCGCATCCTGCAACGCCAGTCCTGCCAATCGAATAAAAAGTGTCAGAACATACATGACTCATTGAGGCTACAATGTACTGAGTGTAGAACTTTCTGTTCGGGGTTTCGCAACCAATACTTAGGGTGCCAAGTTCATTCTCTTCTCTCAGCCTAGTATATTTTTAATTAGTCGGTTGAATAAGTCCGGTATGGTGTAACGGCTAACATTGCCGCCTTTCACAAAGCAGTGCGCGGCAGCTCGGGGTTCGATTCCCCGTACCGGAAATAGCTTAAACCCCTTCATTTTGCGCTGATAGAATCCTTATTATGTGCACGTCTGGCATGCCCGAAAGTTAATAAGTTTTTTCTTTCGTTGTCGATTTCGCTCTTTTTTGGCACCCCTTTACCACCACCCCGGTATGCTCGATAATATAAGTCAATTAATGGACTCCTTTGGCCACAGGTTTAGTTCGATAGAGACTTCCCGAGCCTCACAGTCTTTCCTAGCCCAAACTTCATATCGAGTCATCTTTTGTATCCTCAACATTTCCATGACTGCTCCAGGAATGTCGCTCGCCAACTTATGCAAGTGATTTACTCGGTTGAAAATGGGCAGTCACAAGGGAGCTTTGATAATCTATCTTTTGGCTTCTTGCTGGATTGACGGCCACAGCTTTATCATTGCCCATAGCCCGTGGAGCTGCAAACCTTACGCAGAAGGAGACAGCATTTTCGACTGACTATGGCACCTCAGTGGCTGGGGTACTTCGAAGCTTTAGGACCATCGCGTGTTGGAGTTGACCTGTATTTTGTTTTCTTGAACCTAATATTTACTGCATACTAAATCAGAGTAATGTATTATTCTTTCTATCCTTTGGGATTTGTTCTCCTTGCCTGATTGAAGTGGCGTATATGGCAGAGCAAGGAACGTGTA